CTAGGCCGAAGCCGAACAAAATGAAACACTGGGCCAAAGGCCGAATACCGAACATGGTTTTTCACATTTTTCCCCCATGTAGGCCTATTTTGCCATTTTTTTTCACAATTGCATTAACTAAATTGCCAAAATGTGGTTTTTACTGTTTTGTCCTGCTTTTCAAATAAAAAAATCAATTACAAAACGACAATTAAAAAATACATACTTAACACTGAACATTTTTTTTACATTCTAGCAGACATTATACCAACAAAGCACAATTTAGCTTAAACTGATTTCATAACACATTGTTTCAAAGCAGCTTATAGAAAATTTTTATTTATGTATTTTATGAAGTTTTAATTAGTGCTGTCAAACAATTAATCGCATCCAAAATAAGTTTTTGTTTATATTATATATGTGTGTGCACTGTGTATATTTATGTATATGTAAATACTAGTGCTGTCAAACGATTAATCGCATCCAAAATAAGTTTTTGTTTACTTAATGTGTCTGTTCTGTGTATATTTATTATGTATATATAAAGACACACATATACAGCATATATTTTGAAAATATTTACATGTATATATTTATATTAATTATATTTATATAAACTTAACATATTTTTCTTAAATATATACATGCATGTGTGTGTATTTATATATACTTAATAAATATACTGGCGCCGCGAGCTCGCGCAGCGCTGTCAGAATACATTGTATTCGTGCGTGCATTAAAATATAACATTCTGCAGTTTATTTACTAATCGTTTGAGGTAATTGCATCCAAAATAAGTTTTTGTTTATATTATATATGTGTGTGCACTGTGTATATTTATGTATATGTAAATACTAGTGCTGTCAAACGATTAATCGCATCCAAAATAAGTTTTTGTTTACTTAATGTGTCTGTTCTGTGTATATTTATTATGTATATATAAAGACACACATATACAGCATATATTTTGAAAATATTTACATGTATATATTTATATTAATTATATTTATATAAACTTAACATATTTTTCTTAAATATATACATGCATGTGTGTGTATTTATATATACTTAATAATTGCGTTCATCATTGTTCGGTTCATATTATTTGGCCTTTTCGCTTATTATGGCCTTATTGCTATTTTCGGCCGAATAATTTCGGTTGCCGAATATTCGGTGCGTTTGACAGCACTAGTTTTAATACTTGTCAAAGAAACTATTATAGCTGTATATTACTGTCATATGGACATGTTATGTGGTTAGTTAACATCATGTATTCCATTAAGCAAACAACAAACGTGTTAGGCAGCAGTTATAACTTGTGTATGGATCAACATATAAAACTATTATCCTTATAAAGTTGGCATCATCTGGAGTCTTCGCAAGTGTTGCTTTTGTCTGACTGGAGCCAAATGTGAAAAAGCTCCAGATAGGCTTTGATATCCTTGGTACTCTAAAAAGTCCAAAGGCTGATATGTAACTGAGGCCAAAATATGATCTAACCCTGTTCCAATGTTGTTGTTTATTCATCCTCAGGCACGGGCGAGAGCGGCAAAAGTACGTTCATCAAACAGATGCGCATCATTCACGGGGCGGGCTACACCGACGAGGACAAGCGCGGCTTCACCAAACTCGTCTACCAGAACATCTTCACCTCCATGCAGTCCATGATCCGTGCCACCGAGCACCTCAAGATCCCGTTCAAATACGAAGAGAACAAGGTGACTGCTGCACACTGAACAATCCCCCGCCGTCACTGCGCTGTAATCATCTCTTTGATGCCCAGAGTGCACGTCAAGATGCAAATCAAACCCAGATAGGCCATAAACGTGGCTATAAAAAGCACTACAAGCCTCGCTTGTAAATTTTACTGCTGTCACACCACGGTCAGCTGTCTTTCTTCAGTGCAGGATTACGGTTAATTATTCTCATGTTTTGGTTTTGAAGAATCCGTTAATATTTCCTAAAAAGGATCCTTAAAGTTTAACTCGACAACTTGTGACCTAGTTGGTTCGAAACCCTGCTGGAAGTCATTAGTATTACACAGCCATTAAGTCATAAAATGGGATTTTTACGGTGTACGGTCTCTTTATCCACAGAACAATGCTTTGCTGGTGCGAGAGGTCGACGTGGAGAAGATTTGCTCCTTTGACCAGCCCTATGTCAGTGCAATAAAGAAGCTCTGGTCAGATCCAGGCATCCAGGAAGCCTACGACCGCAGGCGAGAGTACCAGCTCTCTGACTCCACTAAATAGTAAGTGTGTGTGCTGTCATTAGCCATTAGCTCCTTTTAACTTTATTGGTTTTAATTGAATTGTCGAACGCTACATCTTTTCTTGCGGTCAGTTAGAAGCATATTTGTAATAAGTCATAGATGTATAGATGCAGTATTATGGCCTGTTCATACTACAAATCATATCTATAAAGATAACCTTAACGTTAACTATATTAGCATCCACACCAATGTTTATTGTAAGCAAGCTTCAGTTTTGTCGTCTGCTGCTCCTTAATGCGCAGGCTCCTTAAAAGTCAGACAGAAGATTGGCTGTCAGTGTTTTTATCGTTTATCAGCTGGAAAAAAATCATTATTTTGTGGGGGTTTTTTATAGCTGTTGTGTGGACTTCCATATTCTCATATAGTTATAGTTTAAAGTGTTAGTTCACCCAAAAATAGAAATTCTGTCATTAATTACCCTCATGTCGTTCCAAACCCGTAAGATCTTCGTTCATCTTCTGAACACAAATTAAGATATTTTTGATGAAATCCGAGAGCTTTCTGACCCTCCGTAGACAGCAATGCAACCGACACGTTCAAGGCCCAGAAATGTAGGAAGGACATTGTGACATGTCACATGGACTATTTTAACGATGTCCTTCCTTACTACGTTTCTGGGCCTTGAACGTGGTAGTTGTATTGCTGTCTATGGAGGGTTGAAAAGTTTTCTATGAAAAGTTTTCTGTTGCTACATGAAAACGTCGGAAATGTCTGTATCGGACAAATATTACATTTAATACACTTTATATGTAATAAAGTACACAGACACCACTTGAGCATCATTTGATTTCAAGTCTTCAGCTGCGGCTGGATTTGACACCGAACATGAGGTTTGCCGCTTACATTCGAAGTCAAACACCGCTATTATAACATTTTAATCCGTTTCAGAAAAAGCAAACAAAATGCAAGTCTGAAAACTAGGGCTGGTAAAAAAAAATAAATCGATGCATCGCGAATCGAGAAATGATTTAGCATCGATTCTGAGATTTCCCGAGTCTTTCTCGAGTCGATTCTGAGCTTAGTTTTGAACAGCAGATGGCACTGCAGGCTTTAGAAACAGCCATACTCTGCTTGTTTCCAAATCCTTACACACACTGAACCTAAAATAATCATTCATAAAATTTGAAAAGGTTGAAGCGAATTACAAGGTTGTTCACAGTGGGCTGTGTTTACATTAATCTGGCGTCATAAAAGCATTCTGAGCCTAGGTGAAATTACAGACTCAGCCGAAACGCACAAGCGCTCTTCTTCATGAGCATTTGAGTGTGGATAAAAACTAGATTAGAGCGCCATCTGCTGTTAAAATCTAAGCTCAGAATTGATCGCGATGCATTTGGAAGATCTCAGATTCGAGCCACGATTTGACTCTGCATCGATTTATCGTTGCAGCCCTACTGAAAACCCCCTAAAAAATGTAAGTTTAAGGCAAGTATAAACACAGCATAAAAATTCTTTAAACTTTCTTTTGTGTTCCACGAAAGAAAATCAGACCGGTTTGGAACGATGAGGATGAGTTAAAATGTTTATTTTTGGATTTAAATATTTACAGATTTATACTTTTAATATGCTTTTTTTAAACCATATTTAAATCCATTCTACAGTTTTTCCAAAACTGCCTGGAAAATATGAAAAGTTGACGATTTTTGTGAGTTTCCATTTGGGACTACTTATATAATTGTATATATACACATGTACATGCCTCTGTTTCTCACCGGTTCATCCCACAGTTACCTTAGCGATTTAGAGCGTATATCGTCTCCGGGATATGTGCCCAGCCAGCAGGATGTGCTGAGGGTCCGAGTGCCCACTACTGGCATCATAGAGTATCCCTTTGACCTGGAAAATATAATCTTCAGGTATCGCCAATCCCACGGCACACCTACACTGCCGCCGCTGTCTCCTGACCTTTAACCTGCTGCTGCAACTGCACTGCTGCCTTCCCTGATCGCATTCTCACACCCACCCAGGGCTCAACCTTTGCTATTGTTGTTTCTTTGCAACTCTTAAAGAGTGTTGTTTTTGGGGAACTCTTGGTAGAGATTGTCAGCGGAGTAAGCAGAAGGTTGTGGGGTCGCATCCCAGGATCCCAAGCAGCGTTCCCTCAATGTTTTTCTAGGGATCTGCTGCCATGCTTGATTCTTTCTTCTTCCTTCTCTCTCCGTCTCTCCTTGTCTCTAGCTATCTAAGCGATTTGGACCGTATCGCAGACCCGTCATATCTGCCGACTCAGCAAGACGTGCTTAGGGTTCGCATCCCTACCACAGGGATTATTGAGTATCCCTTCGACTTGCAAAGCATCATTTTCAGGTAGATCATAATGTCGGAGAGGATTCCTCCCCCAGTTTTAATGTCTTCATGTTTGTAACATTTTGCGAATCAGTACATTGATCTGGTCCACTTCGGCCAGTTGAACGAACAAGGTTCGGTTCGTTTATCAACAATTCTGTGACATTAGTGGCTGTTAATGTCTTTAACCTCTTTGCATCATTAACGTCATTAACATTCATCCATTTTTGTTTGTCTTTATTGTGATTTATGTGTCCGAAATTCAGGGGATTGAAGGATGGTTTGAAACATAAGCATTCATTCATGTTCTAACCAGAACCAAGTTCTTAGAAGTGATAGCAACACTGTTTCTATGCATTAGAATGATATTACTTTGTGTTTTGGTTTGTTTTTGGTTTTGTTTTGAATACAAATTATATTCATTTAAATATTTTAAGCAGTATTTAGCAATCAAATTTTAAAAAGCAAATTTTAAATTCTCTGTTTTTGGTTTTGATTTGTTTCGCTTTTTTTTTTTTGCTTTTTTTTTCGTTTGATTTTCATTTTCTTTTTTGCATTTTGTTTTTGCCTTTTTGTTTTTCTTTGTTTGGTTTGTTTTCTTTTTGCCTTTTTATTTTGTTTTTGTCCTTTCGATTGATTGATTTGTTTTCTTTTTTGCTTTTTTGTTTTGTTTGTCTTTTCATTTGATTTGCATTTTCTTTTTTGCATTTTCTTTTTGTCTTTGTTTGATTTTTTTTTTGCCTTTTTATTTAGTTTTTATCCTTTTGATTTGTTTTCTTTTTTGCCGTTTTGTTTTTGCTGGTTTGTTTTCTTTTTGCCTTTTTATTTTGTGTTTGTCCTTTCGATTGATTTGTTTTCTTTTTTGCTTTTTTGTTTTGTTTGTCTTTTCATTTGATTGGCATTTTCTTTTTTGCATTTTCTTTTTGTCTTTGTTTGATTTTTTTTTTGCCTTTTTATTTTGTTTTTATCCTTTTGATTTGTTTTCTTTTTTGCCGTTTTGTTTTTGCCTTTTAAATGTTTTAAAGTATGTTTATTTAAATATATTGCAATATATAGCATTTAAATGTAAAGTTTATATAAAGGTATGTGTGTGTGTGTGTATATATATATATATATTTTATCTATCTATCTAGCTAGCTAGCAAGCAATGTTTTCTTTGGTTACCAAGACTACTTTAATAAATATTTTGCTCATGGTTATTAATTGCATAATGAGAAATTGAAATGTTACCTTTGGCCTTTGGTAGGATTTGTAATGCCATTAAAAAAAGTCCATACTACAGAAACTGTATGAAACCAGTCAGAATTCTTTAACAGTAATCAGCACCAGACACAGTTTTACCTTTTAAACATTGCAACTCAAGGCCTTAAAGTAGAATCCATTGCACACGCGAGAACATTACCACACAGGCAGGAGTTTGAGCTCATGCCCGTGAAGGGGGAACATTTACGAACCACAGCTCGGCAGGTGATGCGGCAACGAGAAGCCCTCCACAACCCCCCGTTTAGAGCCGAGATGAGAGAAAATGCCTCTGAAGAGAGGTGATCACAAAAGCCCGCAAATCGATTGGAAACCAGCGAGTCAAACCGCTCCTACGCACGCTGGTGCCACAAATAACTTCGCTTACAACAAGGTTCCCTCTTGATCCGTGCTTGACATGTACAAATAACATTCTTGCGAATGTTTATTGGGTATTTAAAACAAACAAACAAACACTTCCAAGCTGCTCTGGAAGGTGGCAAGTTCACATTCCAGGTACGTCAAAGTAGATCTGGAATGTCACATTTAAGGCCACTTGTGGTTTCAGGTGACTGCTACTACTGAATGCAGAAAACCTGTTAGACGATGTTACGAAATACAGGTGAAGAGTTTGGGTTAAATAACCTACAGGGTTACACACTAAACTCCTCAACCTCAGCCATTTGAACATTCTGGTTGAGTTGTCTTCCTCTCCAGCTCCTCGTCCTCCAGAGTAAGAGAGCTTATCCTCGTAAGTAGGTCAGCTGTACCTCCTGCAGGAACGGAGGCTGGCTGAAGAGGCTTTATTTTAGGTTGTAGCTCCTGAAGGAGTCCATTTATCAAAGCTTTTACGCCTGGCCGCTAGAGACTGAGCTAGTGAGACGGTGTTGCCTAAATAAAATAAAACCCTTCTCATGTTTTCCCTCACTGAACCCAAGTGCAGGTGTGATGGGGCGAAAAATAGCACAGTTGAGAATTGCTCTGATTATTCCCTTCTGTTTTGGCTGGAATCTCCTGTGAGTTTGTTTGAGTACTTTTCCATTAATTTAGGATCAGTGAGCGTTACCTGACTGTTGAGCTGGGAATGGCCTGTATTCTTGTAATGCACGTTCACTTTCAGAAAAAGAAACAAAAAACAGTTTGGACATTTACCTGCTTTAATGCAGCATATAGAGCATGAAACCTTACTATTTGGCTCACTTTAATGTAAAATAGTTACATTTAGGTGTTTCTTCAACTGTAGGCAGGGGAAAACTAAAAAAAAAGAAGAAAAGCTGATTTACTCGAAATGTCAAAAAAAAAAATTTTTTGCCAAGTTAACCTTTCTCATTTTTCTTTAACTTGATGTAAAACTATAAAACTATAGATGTTGAAAAAAATTAATAAAAATGGCAAACATGCTATAAAATTTCCAAAACATTTACTAAATTAAAAGAAAAAAATAAAAATGTACTAATTGTAAAATATTATAAATATAGAAAAAGCTTATATAAAGCTATATAATAGGATAAAAAAGCTATATAAATCTATATAATAGTATTATAAAAAATAATTTTCCTCCGCAGAGGAAGTTTGATATATTTAAAACTGATCATGTAAACAACAAAGAAAAAAAAAAAAGATATTTGTAATATTTATTGTGATGATGATCAGTTTATAAAAAAATATTAAAAAATATAAATTATTTATGCCAAACCAAACAGCCCCCCCAAGTTAGTGTACTTGTTTACCAAGTGTTAAAGGGATAGTTCACCCAAAAATTAAAATTCTGTCATTAATTACTCACCCTCGTGTCGTTTCAAACCTGTAAGACCTTCGTTCATCTTCGGAACACAAATTAAGATATTTTTGATGGAATCTGAGAGCTGTCTGACCCTCCCATAGACAGCAACACAACTGAAATGTTCCCAAGTCCAGAAAGATAGTAAGGACATCTTTAAAATAGTCCATGTGACATCAGGGGTTCATCCGCAATTATACGAAGCTACGAGAATACTTTTTGTGCGCAAAAGAAAAAAAAGTGTCAGTTGCATCACGCCGGATCTGTTTCCTACGTTGTTGTAATTTGATCTGAATGAAAACAGCGTATCCGTGTGACACAGCTGACACAGAACAGCATACGTTGTTTACGTCCAGCTGATATTCTCCAAAATGGCACCAGGGTGATGCGGAGGAGACTAATTTTTTTTTGTTTTTTCTTTTGCGCACAAAAAGTATTCTCGTAGCTTCGTATAATTGCGGATGAACCCCTGATGTCACATGGACTATTTTAAAGATGTCCTTACTATCTTTCTGGACTTGGGAACATTTCAGTTGTGTTGCTGTCTATGGGAGGATCAGACAGCTCTCGGATTTCATCAAAAATGTCTTAATTTGTGTTCCGAAGATGAACGAAGGTCTTACAGGTTTGAAACGACACGAGGGTGAGTAATTAATGACAGAATTTTCATTTTTGGGTGAACTAACCCTTTAAGTGTTACTTGTTTAATATGAAACATGACATATGCTTGAGGCTTAATGCATGTCAAAAAAACAAAATCACATTAAATATCGGATAATATTTTTGTCATTTTGTGTCACCACCTGGCGATTGTCAAATGATGCAGAAGTGTGGATCTTATTTAATTGCATGTATTTAGCATACGTAAAGTGCTAGCTATAAAATTCAACTTAGAGAGACAAAGGAGTCAGCCATTTTATGCAAAATTGTGGTGGAAATAAGAATGACTTGCAGAACAAGTGATTTATGTATGTATTTGCTATTGGATAATGTTTCTGGACTTGTCAAACTAGTAAGAAAAGTATTTAAAAAGTTAAGTTTCTAAAAATCTATAAGGCCAGAAGAGCCCCTCGATGAAGAAACTTTTTGTTCGATGAGGTTTGCCAAAAAACTGTCATTGTATTCATTTTTGTTCATGACATACCAAGGCCCAGGAATGTATTTTGTTTCGTTCATATTCAATATTTGCTTGGTGAATAAGCATGTATTACATTTTTTTTTATTTTGTTGTTAGTTGGCCCCCGACACACCTTACAGTTGCGTATCTGTTTTTCCATCAGTCTCAGGGCTTTACTAATACAGTGCCAACACGCTTTTTCTTCGCTCATTCACCCTGTCCGTTTTTCTTGGATGTTACTCATCCCAGCATGCATTTGAAACTCTACAGTTCACTTTTTGTTTGTGGCGTCTCTATAAATGTTTGTGTGTTAGTTTTGCTTCCTTTGTGAAATTCACCACTTACAATGTCACCATTTTACTACCAGAACTGAAGACGACCAGCTCCATACTTGACCGTAGACCTCAAACTCTCCAGTGGCATGATGAAATCATAATTACGTGCTTATTGTCCTGTTTCGATACTTCTGTAATTCTCTGTATTAAGTTAACCTCTGCTGTCATGTTTTGAGCTGGTCTTGTTCAGTTCACGTTAGAAACGCCCAAGTCCACACAATGTCATGACTTAATTTGTGCATGTTTGTGAGAATGAATTAACCTCAAGATTTTCCTGCCAAAATGTTAATATAATGATAACAGACATGTGATTTTTGAGATGCATCTAATTTTGTATGACAAGTGGTTTCCATCCCTAAGTACTCATTCATTTTTGGTGGCCTCTAGATCTAATTTGATTTGATAAACGGAGAATATTGTTACTTTGAGATATCTAGTAGCCCATTTCCAATGAAAATGTTGCAAATCTGTTTCAGAATTGGCCTGTTTTTTTGTTGTTGTTTTTTTTCAAACGCCAAATGTTGATATAGCTTAGTTTTAAGGATGAATTTAAAGTCATTTCAGTTCAGGGTCTCAATTGGATACCATACACAACACTGGCACAGCCTTTTTCATAGTCATCATAATCATCAAACCAGACTTTTTATGTGTACTCATACTTTGTCACCTCTGTCTCAGGATGGTGGATGTCGGAGGGCAAAGATCAGAGCGCAGGAAGTGGATCCACTGCTTTGAGAACGTCACATCTATCATGTTCCTGGTTGCCTTGAGCGAATACGACCAGGTCCTTGTGGAATCTGACAATGAGGTGATTATTATTGTTATTTTAAATTAATTTTTTATTATAATTAAATTTATCATTATAGTTTGTGTATTTTTTTAAGTTATTGCATAGTTTTTATAATGTATAAAACATGAAAATTAATATAATGTACATTTACAAACTATTTTAATGTTTAATTATATTTATACATTTTAATGTATTTATTAGTAATAATATTAGTAGTATTAGTCATTTCATGTATTTTTTAAAATGTATATCAAAATAAGAATTCATGAATGTACATAATAATTTTTTGTTTTATATAATTTTAAATTATTATTAATATTTAATATTAAAATAATATATAAATATATTCAAATTAATAATATACTTTTATACATTCTTTTTAATTGTTAATTTATTATACATTTTTAATGTATTGTTTTTTGAATGTTTATTGTATTTTAGATTTTTGTAATGTAAATGTATTTTCTACTATTAGTATTAGATATTTTATTTATTTTATAACGTGTAAAAAATATTACATTTATAAATGTAAATATTTAATTTCTAATTATTGGTATCTACTTCTAGAGATTTTGTTTGGAAATTGTGTATTATAATTGAGCAATATAATATAACGGAGTATATATGGAAATACATAAATCATTCATTGAGGTTCATCAGCTAGACTTGCATTATCCGCAGTTAATGATGCTTAACAGTCATCTGCATTAGTCTTCAGTGCAGTCCCTTTCATTGTGGTATTTTTGTTTCTGACTTCTGCAGAATCGCATGGAGGAAAGCAAAGCGCTGTTTCGCACAATCATCACCTACCCCTGGTTCCAGAACTCTTCAGTCATTCTGTTCCTGAACAAGAAGGACCTTCTGGAGGAAAAGATCATGTACTCTCACCTGGTGGACTACTTCCCTGAATTTGACGGTAACAGCCTTTTCACAAGTTTCAAATGAAGCCTACACTGACACCATGTGGTAGACTTGTGAACTGCAACCACTTCCAAATACACTTCTATAGCCTGTTTGGTCTCCAAACTCTCATTTACCCTCTGACAGGTCCGCAGAGGGACGCCCTGGCGGGCCGCGAGTTCATCCTGAAGATGTTCGTGGACCTGAACCCGGACAGCGACAAGATCATCTACTCGCACTTCACCTGTGCCACAGACACCGAAAACATCCGCTTCGTCTTCGCGGCGGTCAAGGACACCATCCTGCAGCACAACCTCAAAGAGTACAACCTAGTGTGAGAGAGAGATGGAACGAGAGCGAGACACCTGCCGCCCACACACGGCCGAAAGCACTACACGCCTCACACGCAGAAACACACCTTCACCCCCTTTAGGCACTGGATCTTCACATAGTCCTTTTCTTTGCCTGTTTTCTCCTCTCTTCCTGAGTGTCGACCCCTCCAGCCGATAGCTTTATCATCCAATCTTTCTCAAACACGAAGGCTGGGCCGTTAAACCGGTGCCTATTGACAAAGAGCATTCGTTTGCTCTGTAGATGGGCTGTAGGTGGGCTCTACCTGAATGAAACTGAGGTACGAACTTAACGGAAAACCCTCGGTGGATTGTCCGTCCGTAACGAAGAGTGGGCGACATTCTTGAAGGACTTCACCTTGCATCACTGAAGTTAACCAGGTGTTAGTTGTGCAATCACATGCTATAACACTAGAGGTGGAGGTGATTTGATTTAATACTATTTTAGGAGTGATGTATAGAGATTTTCCATCACTACTGGAGAAGAGATGGCACACCATGTGACTTTTTCGTAATAATGAGTAATGAAAGCCACCAGTTTTTTTCAAAAACGCTCAAATTGCGTTCCCGAAATTATTTCGAAAAAAACCCCAGTTCGCTTGTGTATCCACTATAAATTTATCATTCACGCAGCGAACTGTTTCCTCCAGTCTGATGTTTGCCAGTATTGGGTGTTTAATCAGTATAATTAAAGGGATCCAGCTAGTATTCAAAGATATTTACCAAAAGATTGTGATTTGTTTACATGCTTCGTCACATCAGTTTTGAATCTTTGACCGAAGGAATCAAATAAACGCCTTTCCTAGCCGATTCATTCATGTTTTACTCAGTATAACATTCAATATCCAGTGATTTAAATGTTCGTAGACTCGACGCAAAAGTGCTATATAGGGTGAAATCCATTTAGTTTGTTTTATTTATGTAATTTATGGACCAGATATGTAATTAGTCTGACTCATTTTTCCAACTAAATTTTTGAGTCTCTTCTGCTGTAAAAAATCCATTGGCAAGTGATCTTTTCTTTTTGGTATTTCTTAAATCGATTGTCGCCGTTCTGTTCTTTTTTTCTTTTCTTTTTTTTTCCCGAATATTTGAAATGCTTGAAAATGGAGAGTTGAATTTCCATTTTATCAACATCGCTTTATGCAAATAGGAAATTGAGAATTTTATCAGTGGTTGAATTCTTAACTGGTCTCTGCTTGCGTTGTTTTTTGAGAGTTCGCTCTTGGTTTCGTAGTACCATATCTTAGTTCTCGCTTAATTTAGCTTTTTGGATTCCGTAGCTAGCTGGCTTTTTTTGGGGAGGGGGGATCTTTATGATGTAATTCAGGTGAGTTTTCATACTTTTCATTACAAGGGCTAATTGTGGGCGGAGAATGAAAGGACTCTATGAAGACGATAGAGCAATAGGTACGTAGAGGAATCAGGGACAGCGCGGGTGATGCTGTGGGAGTTGCCGTTTTCCGTAGGTTCAGCTTGCAGTGCATCCAGGGAGCACCTTCAGAGATCTTCGGAAAATGTATGCTATTTCTTGCCGCAAATCAAACGACTTCGAATGGGCTGTTTTGATTTTGTAAGTTTAGGAATGAAGTATTCGGTGGCGGTTATGTCACATGTTTCCCTTTGCCATGTTTGGTTTCGGGGGCTGTGACGGTATTGCGTTTGAGTCCTGTGTACTCATTTATCGTACACTTTTTTTTTTTTCCTCAGCCAACTGGCTATGAATTTATCACACATTAGCACTCGTACAGTCTTACTGGCTTCGTTCGTATTATTGAAACAACATAGCTTGAGAGTAGCAGAATTTGAAAAAATCACGAGATCTAACGTAATGATATAGCAAAATATTTGAATCACAATGGTCACTTATTGGCGCGATTTATTTTTAACTAGTAATTGAATGTATTGTAGGAGGATTCTTTTTTTTGTGATTACTTTTGTGAATTACTTTGGAAGTGTAGTTTTGAAGGTGTATACGCAGTTTTCTCTGTATATTTGCAGTTTTGTTGCGTTTAATTAATCCTATAAGCCTTCTTTACATATACATTTGGACCTTTTAGTGCATTTTATGAATTGTTTGCCAAATTGCGAACTTTTTTTCTTTTCTTTGTTTATCTAATCAATCCTCCCATGCCGGCCAGTTAAGCTGCTTTTTTTTCTTTTTCCAAACATCCAGATTTGCATACCGTCATTCTTCTGACCGGGGCTTCACACTTCATTCATTTTAAGCTGTGTTTACTTGGGTGGGATGGTACTATCAGTCACCATATACCAATTTCAAACTGTTTCGTTGTTGTACAAGTAGTGGACCTGCAAATTTATGACGGCATTTTTGAACACGTGAACGTTTAAAGCTTTTGTACATACGGCTTTCATTTTGAAGGGCTAGTTCTAATCTGAGAAACACCTTTCTTTATCCAACAGAAACACTACAGCTAGTCATTTCGTACCAATTAAGTCCACAAAACATCACAATACGTTGTGCAGATGGTATAAGTAACTTTAATATCCTGTTCAGCTGGTGTTTAAGGTTTTCTTTGGTCGTTCTCAACAATTTGTGATGAAGTTTGGTATGTTTTTCCTCCCTGGGTTAATGCACTGAACCTACTCTGCAGTAATGGAACGAACTCCACTCATGTGACGTATCTGTTCCTCCAAACTTGTTCCTGGTACTCTGAGAGATGCAGACACTAATGAATAGAAATGACGCTTTCGCTTGAGGTCCACACTGACGTGATGGATGCATACAATATGAAGCTATCTTTACTTTCTTTTTTTATTTCTGACGTCGATGCATTACCTGAACACTTGTATGTAGGACACTTTAATATAATACATTTGTTTTTGATAAAACAGCTAAAATAAACTTTTGTGTAGTGGTGTATAAAATCAAAGTATTGTATTACTTTGTAATGTATTTCTTGTTCGGTTGGTTGCTCTTTATTTTTTATTTTTTTTAAGCATACCAAATGTAAATGATGTACTATATTGAGTGTGCCAATCCCTTTGATTTGTAGAGCCAGACTCTTTACAAGTGCCAATGTTGTGGAAATCATTTAAAAAGGACTTGTGTATTTTATGGTCCGGTTTTTAAAAACAAATAAACATTAAGTATGTGATTATGGTAAATGCGCAACAGGAAAAGGACAATTTTATTCTGTATTTAAGATTAAAGATGACAAACTGCTGTTTTTAAAAGAAATGACATTTTAATTGCATGTGTTTGTTTTCGGCGGAGAGGGTCGGGTAAAGGAGAAACCGTATTAACGCGAAACCCTGCTGACGAGGGGCTTAATTATTGCTCATTTACAGTATTTTAGACATTTCTCTTTTTGTATGTTTAATTTCAACCACTTTTGCCTGAACCTCATTCATACATGAAAATGACTTTCATAGCCTTCTCCTTTAAAGAAAAAAATATCCATTTTAAATTGGAATAAAATTTGTTCCTATATGTTTGCATCTGTGTTGAGCTTTTATTTATGTCCTTTATTACAAGACCGGTAGATGGTCCTCCTCGTAAAACATGTTCTACATTAAGAGTCCTGGTACTGGTAATGATAATCTTCTCTCGTCATAAAGAGTTCAATAATACATGACGAAATTATTCTTGTGCAGCACAGAGATCGTATTAATATAACATAACTTCAGCTACAAAGATGTCATTAAATCTCATTTCAGCATATTTATTAGATGCTATTTTTAATGTTGAGGTTTGATTTGAACATCAGAAATGTGAAGTAGGTATTTCAAAAATCTTTGTTCATTATAATAGAGCAGAATAATCCAATCAGATTTCAGTCATTTGTATCGATGCTGATATTATTTACATTTCTTTTTTAAACATTTGAATATATAGATGGATAAATCGATTTTTAAAAAAATTATAAAAAATACGTGAGCTGTTTGTTGGTGCTGTTTTGATAGTTACATATTAAAAATAATATTGTACATTAAAACATGAAATATAAAATTGTAGATATTAAAAATCAAATTAATATATACAAATATTTTATATATAGGTAATGTTATTAAACAATATATATACAAATATATGAATATTAGAGCTGTTTGCTGGTGCTGTTATTAAATTGGTAGGAATTAAAAAGTTTTATAAAAAATTATTTCTATAAATAGGAACAAATGTAAAATATTTTATATTTTTATATATAATAAAAAAATTTATATAATTGTATTTCTAACTTTTTA